TAAATGTATGAAAGAGGGGAAGGTACCTAGAGATTGGTGGAGAGCATTTATAGTCCCTTTATATAAAGGGAAAGGGGACAAAAGAGATTGTAAAAATTATAGAGGAATAAGTTTACTGAGTATACCAGGAAAAGTGTACGGTAGGGTTATAATTGAAAGAAATAGAGGTAAGACAGAATGTAGGATTGCGGATGAGCAAGGAGGTTTCAGAGTGGGTAGGGGATGTGTAGATCAAGTGTTTACATTGAAGCATATATGTGAACAGTATTTAGATAAAGGTAGGGAAGTTTTTATTGCATTTATGGATTTAGAAAAGGCATATGATAGAGTGGATAGGGAAGCAATGTGGCAGATGTTGCAAGTATATGGAATAGGTGGTAAGTTACTAAATGCTGTAAAGAGTTTTTATGAGGATAGTGAGGCTCAGGTTAGGGAGTGTAGAAGAGAGGGAGACTATTTCCCAGTAAAAGTAGGCCTTAGACAGGGATGTGTAATGTTACCATGGTTGTTTAATATATTTATAGATGGGGTTGTAAGAGAAGTAAATGCTAGGGTGTTCGGGAGAGGGGCGAGATTAAATTATGGGGAATTAAATACAAAATGGGAAATGACACAGATACTTTTTGCTGATGATACTGTGCTTATGGGAGATTCTAAAGAAAAATTGCCAAGGTTAGTGGACGAATTTGGGAATGTGTGTAAAGGTAGAAAGTTGAAAGTGAACATAGAAAAGAGTAAGATGATGAGGGTATCAAATGATTTAGATAAAAAAAAATTGGATATCAAATTGGGGAGGAGGAGTATGGAAGAAGTGAATGTTTTCAGATATTTGGGAGTTGACATGTTAGTGGATGGATTTATGAAGGATGAGGTTGATCATAGAATTGATGAAGGAAAAAAGGTGAGTGGTGCATTGAGGTATATGTGGAGACAAAAAATGTTATCTATGGAGGCAAAGAAGGGAATGTATGAAAGTATAGTAGTACCAACACTCTTATATGGGTGTGAAGCTTGGGTGGTAAATGCAGCAGTGAGGAGACGGTTGGAGGCAGTGGAGATGTCCTGTCTAAGGACAATGTGTGGTGTAAATATGCAGAAAATTCAGAGTGTGGAAATTAGGAAAAGGTGTGGAGTTAATAAAAGTATTAGTCAGAGGGCTGAAGAGGGTTTGTTGAGGTGGTTTGGTCATTTAGAGAGAATGGATCAAAGTAGAATGACATGGAGAGCGTATAAATCTGTAGGGGAAAGAAGGCAGGGTAGGGGTCATCCTCAAAAAGGTTGGAGGGATGCGGTAAAGGAGGTGTTGTGGGCGAGGGGTTTGGACTTCCAGCAAGTGTGCGTGAGCGTGTTGGATAGGAGTGAATGGAGACAAATGGTATTTGGGACCTGACGAGCTGTTGGAGTGTGAGCAGGGTAATATTTAGTGAAGGGATTCAGGGAAAGTAGGTAGTAGGTTGGTAGACAGCAACCGCCCAGGGAGGTACTACCGTCCTGCCAAGTGAGTGTAAAACGAAAGCCTGTAATTGTTTTACATGATGGTAGGATTGCTGGTGTCTTTTGTCTGTCTCATAAATATGCAAGATTACAGGTAAGTCTTGCTACTTCTACTTACACTTAGGTCACACTACACATACATGTACAAGCATATATATACACACCCTCTGGGTTTTCTTCTATTTTCTTTCTAATTCTTGTTCTTGTTTATTTCCTCTCATCTCCATGGGGAAGTGGAACAGAATTCTTCCTCTGTAAGCCATGTGTGTCGTAAGAGGCGACTAAAATGCCGGGAGCAAGGGGCTAGTAACCCCTTCTCCTGTATATTACTAAATTTAAAAGGAGAAACTTCAGTTTTTTCTTTTGGGCCACCCCACCTCAGTGGGATACGGCTGGTACGTTGAAAGAAAGAAGATTCAGGGAAACCGGTTATTTTATATAACCGGACTCGAGTCCTGGAAATGGGAAGTACAATGCCTGCACTCTAAAGGAGGGGTTTGGGATATTGGCAGTTTGGAGGGATATATTGTGCATTTTTTATACGTATATGCTTCTAAACTGTTGTGTTCTGAGCACCTCTGCAAAAACAGTGATTATGTGTGAGTGTGGTGAAAGTGTTGAATGATGATGAAAGTATTTGCTTTATGGGGATTTTCTTTCTTTTTGGGTCACTTGGTGGGAGATGGCCAACTTGTTGAGAAAAAAAAAAAAAAAAAATTGCAACATATCTCCACCCCTCCATCAGAGTGCAAGCACTGTACTTCCCACTTCCAGGACTGTAACATCCCCACCATCCTTCAGAGTACAGGTAATGAGCTGTTTGTAGCAAATGGCACTTCAGCCATAATCATCCTCGACTCAGTGCGCGCATACATGAGCCCCCCTACTCACACTCCCGCACTGAACCAACCTACCATCAGCAGGGAAGCCATAATCCCTGCAACCACACCACTACCTGATGCACAACCCCCCGCCACTGAGGTCGACCTAAAGGACCAACCTGGTTCCACCGCCACCCCGTGTGAGACAAACCGCTGAGCAGCAAATCCAATTCCAGGTCATACCTTTCCAGGTACGATCTCCATTATCCCCCATGTCCCCAACCAATGTGGCTGACGACTCAACTCGCCAAATAAGTGTAGACTCTGACGCTCCTCCGACGTCTGACGATGAATCAGACTTGTCATCGCATATCACCATTGCCAACAATAAAGATGATGACCTATTCTCCTCTCAGATGCCCACCCAAGACTATAACCCCCCACCCACTCCCTCCCGTAACTCCACCAGAAAGCGCATGCAACCACCGTGCGATTGTGCTACTAAACTCCCTTCCTCTGTTCACAGCAGCTCCGCCAAACACGTAAAATAATGGGGATCACTATTCTGCAAATCAACATTCAACACTCCTTCAACAACCGCTATCTCCTCGAACTAGGACTCTGCAATCACAACCGGGACATTATCCTTTTAAACGAAACATCAGCCAGACCTGACCAACACAAAGATACGTGGGTACACAACTCTCGAGAAATCCAGGGGGCCCTACAGCGAGGTGGCCATCCTAGTGAAGCATGGGCATGAATTTCACAATATACATGTCGACGAGGACAACGTCCTAGCAATCGAAGTACCAACATCACACAGGCGACTCCTAGTAGGAACAGGGTACTTCCCTCCCAGACAACCATATACTGAATCTATTCCCTTACACCGACTACTCAATAGAAATATTCCTACTGTCTTAGCAGGGGACTTCAATGCCCATCACCCCGCTCTCTTCAACTGTGGTGCCGCCCATCCCCAAGGTGACCACAAGGGGAAACAACTACTCCACATAACGGCCACGAAAGACCTTACATTCCAAGGCTCATTCTTCAAATCATTCGTGGGCCACCACCCAGGTATCCCAGATGTAGTACTTACCAACAGAGACTGCGACTTGTTCCACTGCAGTCTCCCCCCAGGCGGCAACGTCAGGTCAGATCACATCCCCGTCGTAATCAAGCTCCAGTTCACTCCGTTCCGAACACCCACCCTCCCCAAACCCAACCTTAAGACATTAGGATTTGACCCCTTCAGGGCCTTCTTAGGAATCGACCAAACTATTTCTCTCAAAGACCATCCCTCCATTGCAATAGATGGGGCAGTTAACTCCCTCCATGCCAGAATCATGAGGCCACACAAGCTTGCTGTGCACTAACAATGTCCAAGATCTACCAACAATACAAACCAACTAGGGAAATCAAGGACAGAATGAATAACTACCAATCTGAGTGCACCAGACACTTCCTCACAGGGTATCCCACCCGAGAAGTTCTGCTAAGAATGAGAAGAGAGCTAATCACCCTAATAACCCAACACAAAAGAGATCTTTGGGATTACCTGGTGTGCCAAGCAAACCAGTATAAACACCACCACCCAGACCAATTCTGGAACAAGATCCGTAGACTCCTAGGGGCCAACCACACTCCCACTCAACACATCACTCCTTCATCAACAAAGACGGTGAAGAAGTGACTACCCTGCACAACGACCCACAAGACCAAGCCAAGCTGATGGGCGAAGTATGGGAGAACATTCTCTCACACAATGACAGCAGAAGATTTAACAATAATCACTACCAGTGGGTCAACCAATGGCGTGACGAGAACCTGGAAGACTTCCATCCTATACCATCAATTGACACACCTCTTAAAAACGAACACCCATCTAACCAGACCAATTATTCTCAGGGAAGTGTCCCACATCATTGGGCAACTGAGAAACACAGCTCCTGGCCCATCAGGCATAACAGCTAAACAACTAAAGTACCTTCCCCGCAACTGCAAGATGTCACTAGTGAATATCTACAATGCCATCCTGGCATCTGGTCACTTCCCAGTAGCATTCAAAACGGCTAGGATGATCTTCATCGCCAAACCCAACAAAGACAACCGCAACCCCTAGAACTACAGGCCCATCTCCCTACTCGAAGTCACGGGCAAAGTCTTGAAAGAATAATCTTTAACAGGCTGAATTACTACATGGAGTTCAACCACCTATTCTCTGAAAGGCAGTTCAGCTTCAGGTCCCGCCACAGCACACAGCATGCCATAAATATCATCTTTGATGCTGTGGCTAGCCTGAAGAAGCAAGAGAACCTGGCCCTGATTGCCACCAGGGACGTACACAAGGCCTTCGGCAGCCTGTGGCACAATGGTCTCATTTTCAAACTCAGACCTGGAAATGTTTCATCTCTCTGGTAAAATAATGGAATTATTTACTTTAAACAGACTTTTCTATACGTTAAACAAACTTTTCTACAAGATAAACAGCACACCAGAGCTTAGCTCTATGTCCATGGCAACAAAGGCAATCACAAATTAAGCAAATAAGTAATCACACTAGTCTTAAGATATGATGCATGAAGGAGCATAAAAATAATCACATTAGTTTTAAAAAACAATGCATGAAAGAACATCTAATAACAAAAATGAAATATTGGAGAAAAAATTGACACTTACCCCATTTTGGTGCAAGTACTGGACGGCATTTGTTAAGGTAAGCAACACAGCTGATGCTTCCCTTTCAGAGAAGAATTTCTGCCGCAGGATCTTGTCTAAGAGCTCCCCACCCTTCATGAGTTCCATCACCAGGAAAACGTGAGATTCATCTTCATAAACCTACAAAGAAAAATGCTAGAAGTTAATGTGTGAATTACATAGCATCTATTTTAATTTCATGTCTTAACTGGTCAAATGTTGCCATTGAAATTATTTTCAGTACATTTAGGTAGTACGACTCATGACTCAGGAAATCGTAATGTGAATGTAAACAAACCGTGGAACAGGTAGGGTGTGAACCCAGGACAAGGGAAACTCATACTTAAAATTATTAGCAAAAGCTTATTTTTTTTTTTTTACAACACACTACCTGTTCAAGCATATTTATTAACATTTAAAGTAGAAATTAATTGAACAAACAACCATGACAATACACTGTATACTATATAATGTATGACAGTAAATATTTATCATTCACAGCACGGGTTTCGTTCCTGTACTCTGCATTGCCAATGATTTCCAAGACGAATGGAGTGAAAAAAAACATGGCAAAAATAGGGTTGCATACCACAAACCTCTCAGAAAGCCATAACAAATTTTATTAATGACTGTCATTAATAGTTTTTCTTACCTAACATTGTCAATAATGATCTTAGTGAAATAACCAAACTCTAGTGGGGATCAGAGTAAATGTCATCTAAAAGGTTGTTAGTACTGGCAGGCAGTACTCTCATCAGCTACTACCACAATCACCAGTATTACCTACCACCATCAATTTTCATTTCTAAGTCCCTACAAAAGCCAGCTGTTGTTGAGTGTGTATTCCTTTCACAATATTAATGGTATATAATACTGATGAATTAAGTATAAGTGCAACACCTGTGAATATTTTTTAATTTCAAAGACATTTTGTCATCAGTGTCTTTCAGGGTTGAGAGGCCCTCTCCTAAACTCGTTCTCAGGGTCGAAAATTTTTGTAAAAAAAAAAAAATTATTTTTTTCTTATGAAATGACAGAGAATCTTTTCCGATCATAATGACACCAAAAGTATAAAATTTGATGGAAGACTTACGGAATTATGCCCTCGCAAAGTTAGCGATCTCGGCGATGTTTACGCATCGGTGATTTCGCCCACTTTGAGCCCTATTTTCGGCCAATTCCAGTGTACTAGTCAACAACAATCATATCTATTTCGCTAGAACTCCATTTTGTCTATTGAATGAGTACAAGAAACCACCCATTTACCGATTTCAACTATCCAATAAAGTGGTCAGAAATTGGCAATTTTGCCAATTTCACACAAATTTCAGATGATGCCAATTTCCAAATAGGGTCCAGAATAAACAAGACAGACATTCCTGGCACTAAAATAACATTTTCTCTGTTCATTATTAATGTCCCCAGGCCCCTCTTACATTTCTTTTGCCTTCCACTTTGAATTTTTACTCTCACAAACAATAGAAGATTTACTGTTATGCAGACTACTGCATTAGTGTAGAAATGGTATAAATAATATCAGTGCACTTAATTTTTTTTTATTATCACACTGGCCAATTCCCACCAAGGCAGGGTGGTGCGAAAAAGAAAAACTTTCACCATCATTCACTCCATCACTGTCTTGCCAGAAGGGTGCTTTACACTACAGTTTTTAAACTGCAACATTAATACCCTCCTTCAGAGTGCAGTCACTGTACTTCCCATCTCCAGGACTCAAGTCCGGCCTGCCGGTATCAGTGCACTTGTGAAAGAATATTGGACTCGCCAGTTGACGTGTATTGGACGCTTGGCATGATTTGTTTACTTTTGAACTTTGGTAAAAATTGAACATTTCTACTACTTTGAGCTCAATTTCAAGGTACTGTTCATTATGAAACCAATCAAAATTCCAATTCTGAATGTTTTCATTATAAATGGAGAAATAAATAAACCAAATACCATAAAAATATGAAAGTCGTTACAAAAACAGTCAATTTTTTTTTTTTAAGCATGTGTGCTGCAGGATTTTTTTAGTGCACCTGACCACATAGACTTTCAGAGGCTACAGCTTTCTCTCATATTGAAGATGCTAGATTAGCGTAAAGTGTCATACTGGATACCGTATATACGTCGGAACTGAAGGTTATAGAGCGTGTTCTTGACACAGAAGTGAAAATTAATGAGTACCCTGCACATCCATAAATCTTGCTTACTCCATATTTATTGAATTAACCCGTAACGGTCAAGCAGTCCGTATGTGTGTGCTACAAAGTAGATCTACGTTTTTTACATATTTCAAATATAAAAAAAAAAAAGTAGATCAGTTTATACTTTTCAAATGTAAAAAAAAAAGATCTACTTTTTAATCTTAATGTGAAAACGTTATATGTTGGACGTTTGGTTAGAGAATAAGACATAAGACGAAGGAACACTGCAGAGTCTAGGCCCATGCAAGGAGTCAAGTCCTCGTTACATCACCCATCAGTAGTCCATTACTTAGGAGGACACGGAAGCTGGTAGCACAGCTATAGTCATCACACCACCCTCATCTGTATTTATCAACTATTTTAAGCTCACAAACGTTCTTGGCCATCTATTAACGGTATTTAGTTTGTTCTATAAATCCAAAACTAAATATTAACCAAAACCTAGAATACTTTCTATATCCTTCCTAAACACGGTCAATTTTTTTCCAATTAAAGCACCTTGGCTGCGGATCCTGTCAATGCACTAGCATATTTCAAGGCACACTTTCTCCACTTATTTATCTGTTTGCTTTAATACTCAATCAACCCTGTCATAAGTCTACGTCGTCGAAACCTGAAGTTTCAGGGACAGTTATCCTTTAGGAAAGTGATACATTGCGAGTACCTTAGTCATCCTCCCATTTACATTTTGCAGAGATTTATATTCCAATATTCTTATACGATTACCGAAACTGTCCAGCAGAAACTATAATGTGAGGCTAACCAAAGAGATTGTTATATAGTTGCAAAAACAAACAAGGATCAATTTTTATGCTTTTCAAATGTAAAGCAAGGATTCTACTTTTTATTGCGATACTTTGCACTGTTGGTTACTTGGTTTACAGGTTAAGTAAACCTTTCAGTGTTGCTCTTTGCCCTCGTTGCTACAGAAATGTGTAGGTATGATTGATGTGTCACTTATGAACCCTGATAACCAGCTAACCAGTTTTCCCTGAATTTTTTTTTTTTTTTAACAAGTCGGCCGTCTCCCACTCCCACCGAGGCAGGGTGACCCAAAAAAGAAAGAAAATCCCCAAAAAGAAAATACTTTCATCATCATTCAACACTTTCACCACACTCACACATTATCACTGTTTTTGCAGAGGTGCTCAGAATACAACAGTTTAGAAGCATATACATATAAAGATACACAACATATCCCTCCAAACTGTCAATATCCCGAATATCTTCATAAATGCTATCTTGTTCACACTCCAACCTGTCAACCCCCCCCCCCCTTAAAAAAAAAAAAAAAAAAACGCTTGTCTCAGCTCACTCTTGACAAAAACAATCTGGCATGTCAGCAACACTGACATGCCACACTGCTGACTAAGCTGGTATCACCTCTGCTAAAGAGGCTACATGACATAGCAGGTTGATATTTCTTTTGCCAACAGGACCTTACAATTGCAAATAGAATAAAATAAAACTGAAAGGTTTTGGATATCCATGTCCGAAGAATTGTATTTGAGAACAGTTTTGAAGAAAAAGGCACAGAATCAACTTTTAACTGTGAGAACATTTTGCTTTATGTAAAACTTTATCAAATAAATCGTTCATTAACCTGATAAATTATTTTGTGACAAGAAAAGCTTGCTCCTCACCCGTGTTGATGCTGTCAGCAACATGCCTTTATATGCTCATGAACAGTTTGTTAAAAATATGACAGTGTACCAACTTTGCCACATAATTTTACTAGCCACCAAACACTTACAGAAAGAGGCATGAAACTAGCAGCTAAAAAACTTACATCTCTTAAAGAAATTATATTAGAATGGTGGCCATATCTGTAAAGTATCTCTATCTCCTCTTGACAGTCCCGAGTCTTCTTGGGTATAATTTTAACAGCATATTCTTGCCTGGTTACACGGTGGACACAACGACGACAAATGCTATAGCTGCCTCTTCCCACCTCTTCTGAGAGATCGTATTCATCGTGTATACTATTTGCTTTTACTCCTGATAATCTCTGTAAATAAAAATTTACATTAATTAACTTTAGAAGAAATAGAAAAGTTAAAATTTATATTAAATCTTTATTAATGTTATATACAATACACTACCCCATGGGAAGCGAAGAAGAGCCCTTCTTCCATTATGTCATGCGTGTCGTAAGAGGCTATTAAAATGCCGGGAGCAAGGGACTAGTAACCCCTTCTCCTGTATAAATTACTAAATTATAAAAAGAACTTTTTACTAAATTTAAAAAGAGAAACTTTTGTTTTTCTTTTTTGGGCTACCCTGCCTTGGTGGGACACGGCCGGTTTGTTGAAAAAAAAAAAATTTACATTTCTTCTTTTACAGATCACCCGGCCTCGACGGGAGATGACCATCGTATTAAAAAATACATAAAAATTCATGTGAAAAACCTTCACTAACATATGCTTTCTTTTTTTGAGTCCATCTGCCTTGGCAACAGATGACAGTTAGAAAAAAAAATTATTAAAATGAAGAAAGCCTGAAGAAATTACAGCAATCTTTAAAAATGGTGATTTAATGGACAAAACAGGAAGGAACAATGTGGTAGGAGGAGGGATGTGCCAGAGTAATGTGGAGTGAGGAAGTGGATAAGATAAATGGGAGGTGAGCAGCTGGAATAGATGGAAATTAAGACAGACACAGAGAGCAGGTGGAGATAAAGCTTTGAAATGTTTGCTGTATCTATAAAATACATGCATCAAGTGACTCGCAAAATCAGAATAACACGATTGAAAACAAACCAGGGACTGGGTGGGGTTTGTACCCAAGGTGAGAAAGTTGCAAAACTCCAGGCTAGTGTGTAAGTCACTTGACCAGCTGGTCGAGTGGCTTACACACTTGACATGGGTTGAAACCCCACCTGATCAGTGGTTTATATGCACGACTGATTAGAAGACACAAAGAGTGTCAGAAAGCATACATAGTTCATTTATACAAGGGGGAACAAGTGATAGGGTAGGAATTATAGGGAAATATCTACCATATGTATACAAGGTAAAGTGCAAGGTAAAATTATCAAAAGATTCAGGAAAAAAAAAAAAATAGGACTGCAGAGAAATTAGGAAGTTTTATGAAGGACTAAGATGTGAGGTGCAAGTGTGGACAATAAGTACATTTATTTACTTATTTATTTATTTAGTAATTTTAGCATACATACAGAGGTACAAAAAAATACAGGTAAGAGCAGCATGCCAAAGCCACTTATATGCATAGCATTACGGGCTGGCTTAAAATTAACTTAAAATTAACTAAGCAATGATGTAATCAGTGATAAAACAGTATTGTAAACAGATAACAATAAAGCAATACAAGTACAATACTCCCATGAAGATAAGGAATTGTTAATTGCCTTTAGAAATACAGAAAAGGCATATGATGGAGTGGAGCAGTTATTACCATTTACAGATTTTTAAAAGGCATATGACAGGCTGGAATATCTTTTGCCTTTATTGATTTAAAAAAGGCATATGATAGGGTGGAACATTTTTATTTTTTTTTTGCATTTACAGATTTATTAAGGGAGCAAGGGGCTAATAACCTTCTCTTGCATATATTACTAAATTTGAAAAGAGAAACGTTTATTTTTCTTTTTTGCGCCAGCGTCTTGGTGGTACATGGCCGGTTTGTTGAAAGAAGATACGTACATACATAGATAAGTACATACATAGGTAAGTACATACATAGGTAAGTACATACATAGGTAAGTACATACATAGGTAAGTACATACATAGGTAAGTACATACATAGGTAAGTACATACATTGATAAGTACACACACACATACGTACACACAGAAACGTACATACATAGATACATACTAACATATATACGTACATACATAGACAAGTACGTACATTGATAAGTACATACATAGATAAATACATACATAGGTAAGTACATACATTGATAAGTACACACACAGATACATACACACATAGAAACGTACATACATAGATACATACTAACATATATATGTACATACATAGATAAGTACATACATTGATAAGTACACACACATAGGTACACACATAGAAACGTACATACATAGATGCATACTAACATATATACGTACATACAAAGATAAGTACAGTAGACCCCCGCATAACGATCGCCTCCGAATGCGACCAATTATGTAAGTGTATTTATGTAAGTGCGTTTGTACGTGTATGCTTGGGGGTCTGAAATGGACTAATCTACTTCACAATATTCCTTATGGGAACAAATTCGGTCAGTACTGGCACCTGAACATACTTCTGGAGTGAAAAAATATCGTTAACCGGGGGGTCCACTGTACATACATAGACAAGTATATACAGTGGTCCCTCGCTTTTCGTAGTTCTCGGCAATCGTAAATTTCGCCAATCATAGGGGTATTTTCATATAAACATGGACTCACTTTTCATAGGTTGACTCGCGAATAGTAGTTCATCTGGGACGCGTACGCACGGTGTGAGCCGGGGCGGCCTCCCTACCCAGCCAGTCTGGCATTGTTTACCAGTGAGTGAAGGTCCCCTCAAGTGCTCCTACGAAATATTTCATAATATTCCACTCATTTTAGTGCTTGCAAGTACTAAATAAGCTACCATGGCTCCAAAGAAATCTCCTAGTGCCAAGCCTGTGGTAAAGAAGGTGAGAAATATGTACAGTGACAAAGTCTTGGGCCATTTTTGGGAAGTGTTAAAGAGACGCCAGAAACAGAGCTCTCTCCACCGTTACTTTGCGAGACAGGACTAGAGTGACTCTCAAGGTGGTCCTAGTGGCATTAAGAAACAGAGAAGAGAAGCAACCCCAAAGAAGCAAATGGTACCTGAGGTGTTGCTGGAAGGGGATTCCCCTTCCAAACTATAAACAATCCACTCTCTCTCCTCCTCCAGTCTCCCATACACTAAGAAGAATCACCAATAAAGGTAAGTGTTATGCTGTTAATGTTTCATTCATCATTTACCATTGTATTGTTTATGTACTACATGTATATTTCATGTAAAAAAATGTTTTTGTTTTAATACTTCTGGGTGTCAGGAACGGATTAATTGTATTTACATTATTTCTTATGGGGAAAATTGATTCGTAAATCGTAAATTTCGTTTATAGTAACGGCTCCAGGAACGGATTAATTACGAAAAACGAGGGACCACTGTACATTGATAAGTACATACACTAAGTACACACACATACGTACATACATAGATACATACTAACATATATATACGTACATACAGAGGTAAGTACATACGTAGATAAGTACATACATATTTAAGTACACACACAGATACGTACATACATAAGATATATACTAACATATATACAGAGATAAGTACATACACAGATAAGTACATACATTGATAAGTACACACATGTACATACATAGATACATACTAACACATATACGTACATACAGAGATAAGTATATACATAGATAAGTACACACAGATACGTACATACAAGAGGAAAATACATAGATACATGCTAACAGATACATACATACAGAGATATGTACATAAATAGATACATGCATATAGATACATATACACATACATAATGGATACATTCATACACACACAGATACATACACATAAGATACATATATACAAGCATACATATATTAGATACATGCAAAAAACATACATACACACAGTTTTTCCTACACATCTAAAAATAAAAAGTATTTTATATACCCTGAACATATCTACTCATTATATACTGTTATTCATAGCAAGATATTAAGTTGCATTTGATCAACATGATAGCAATGTTGCAAGATTTATTTACATTCACTGGGAAGCAGTAAACCTGCATGTTGGATGCAGGAACTGGGTTTGATCCAAGGAACAAGATTGCTAAAATACCTCAAATTAAGAACCCTTCACCAGTACTGTCAATTATTATTATAATCAAGGGGGAAGCGCTAAACCCGGAGGATTATACAGCGCCTGGGGGGGGGATGTGGAAGGCATTCAGGCTTAATTCGGGGAACTGGAGCACAGATCCAATTCCCTAAATCAAGAGCCCCTCACCAACATCAAGGAACCTTCCTTGAGGGGTTCCAGTACTGTCAAACCCCATTAATTATATTTGTGAGTAAAGCATTAAACCTGTATGGGTCACAGAGCATATGGACGAATGGGGAGGCAGTGAAAATTGCTCAAAGGGAAGGAAAAACTCCCATTCCTGGATCAAGAGCCGTGAGCAACCTCCATCACAGACCCCTCCTATAAAAGTATAAATTTCATTAACATATCTACAAAACAGATCTACATTTTTATATACCATGAACACCTACATACAGAGGTAATTTATGGTGTGAGTGAGAGCAAGATATACTGGTGGATGACATAGTTATAGTCAGATATAAGTGAGACAAGACATCAGCTGCACTAACACAACATTGCTGCCACAAACACAGTGTTGCCTCACATCTTCACTAAGCTGCTACATTAGCAAAATTTATGTCAAACTGCTATACTTGTATTTGTCGTGAAATGTTTGGGTAGTGGAGAGCAGGGATGATCCAAGGCGGGGAAAAGAAAGCTCTAGCTCCTAACAATAAAAGCCATTCATTAAAATAAGCTCATCCCCAGCCTTTATGAGGCAGTGTAGCAGAACACGCTGTGTGTCTTCCCTACCATATAAATTCCTCAATACAAGACACAATATAGTGTCAGACACACTAAGTGTTTCCTCATGCATGTGGTCAACATCTATAATCATTTCCACCAAAACACATAACTGTTTAACTCTGTATTTTCAACATTCATAAAAGTGCTAACTTTAGCACATAATGCTAAAATTAGCAGACCACTACTGCTTTTTTGTTTCCTGTATACTATGATGCTAGAGTATCTTGATCCAAGGAAACAGACCTGACCTCCCATTCCTTGGATCAAACCTAATTGCCTCCTATTCTGCCACATGCTGTATGACTCCTACTGGTTTAGAACCTGATATAATAAAAATCAGGGAGAAGGGGGAGGGGGTACCATCATGCCAGCGAAAGGCTCTTGATCCAAGATATTGTAGTTACCCTTGCTTTCCTTTGACACCTTGCAATAACTTTTTTTTTTTTTAAACAAGTTGGCCGTCTCCCACCGAGGCAGGGTGACCCAAAAAGAAAGAAAATCTCCAAAAAGAAAATACTTTCATCATCATTCAACACTTTCACCACACTCACACATTATCACTGTTTTTGCAGAGGTGCTCAGAATACAACAGTTTAGAAGCATACACATATAAAGATACACAACATATCCCTCCAAACTGCCAATATCCCAAACCCCTCCTTTAAAGTGCAGGCAACATTGTACTTCCCATTTCCAGGACTCAAGTCCGGCTATATAAAAATAACCGGTTTTGCTGAATTCCTTCACTAAATATTACCCTGCTCACACTACAACAGATCGTCAGGTCCCAAATACCATTCATCTCCATTCACTCCTATCTAACACGCTCATACATGCTTGTTGGAAGTCCAAGCCCCTCACCCACAAAACCTCCTTTACCCCTCCCTCCAACCTTTTCGAGGATGACCCCTACCCCGCCTTTTTCCTACAGATTTATATGCTCTCCATGTCATTCTACTTAAATACATTCTCTCTAAATGACCAAACCACCTCAACAACCCCTCTTCAGCCCTCTAATACTTTAAACTCCACACCTCCTAATTTCCACACTCCGAATTCTCTGCATAATATTTACACCACACATTGCCCTTAGACAGGACATCTCCACTGCCTCCAACCGTCTCCTCGCTGCAGCATTTACAACCCAAGCTTCACATCCATATAAGAGTGTTGGTACTACTATACTTTCATACATTCCCTTCTTTGCCTCCACAGATAACGTTTTTTCTCTCCACATATACCTCAACGCACCACTCACCTTTTTTCCTTCATCAATTCTATGATTAACCTCATCCTTCATAAATCCATCTGTCGACACGTCAACTCCCAAGTATCTGAAAACATTCACTTCATCCATACTCCACCTCTCCAATTTGATATCCAATTTTTCTTTATCTAAATCATTTGATACCCTCATCACCTTACTCTTTTCTATGTTCACTTTCAACTTTCTACCTTTACACACTCTCCCAAACTCGTCCACTAACCTTTGCAATTTTTCTTTAGAATCTCCCATAAGCACAGTATCATCAGCAAAAAGTAACTGTGTCAACTCCCATTTTGTATTTGATTCCCCATAATTTAATCCTACCCCTCTCCCGAACACCCTAGCATTTACTTCTTTTACAACCTCATCTATAAATATATTAAACAACCATGGTGACATTACACATCCCTGTCTAAGACCTACTTTTACCGGGAAGTAGTCTCCCTCTCTTCTACACACCCTAACCTGAGCCTCACTTTATTTTATTTTATTATCACACTGGCCGATTCCCACCAAGGCAGGGTGGCCCGAAAAAGAAAAACTTTCACCATCATTCACTCCATCACTGTCTTGCCAGAAGGGTGCTTTACACTACAGTTTTTAAACTGCAACATTAACACCCCTCCTTCAGCATTTAGTAACTTACCACCTATTCCATATACTTGCAACATCTGCCACATTGCTCCCCTATCCACTCTATCATATGCCTTTTCTAAATCCATAAATGCAATGAAAACTTCCCTACCTTTATCTAAATACTGTTCACATATATGCTTCAATGTAAACACTTGATCTACACATCCCCTACCCACTCTGAAACCTCCTTGCTCATCCGCAATCCTACATTCTGTCTTACCTCTAATTCTTTCAATTATAACCCTACCGTATACTTTTCCTGGTATACTCAGTAAACGAACTCCTCTATAACTTTTACAAATCTCTTTTTCTATAACTTTTACAATCTCTTTTGTCCCAATCCCTTTATATAAAGGAATTATACATGTTCTCTGCCAATCCCTAGGTACCTTTCCCTCTTTCATACATTTATTAAACAAAAGTACCAACCAATCCAACACTATGTTTCCCCCTGCTCTTAACATTTCTGTTATGATCCCATCAGTTCCAGCCGCTTTACCCCCTTTCATTCTACATAATGCCTCACGCACCTCTCCCACACTCACATCCTGTTCTTCTTCACTCCTAAAAGATGGTATACCTCCCTGGCCAGTGCATGAAATTACTGCCTCCCTTTCTTCATCGACATTTGAAAGTTCCTCAAAATAACTACAATAATAAAATATTGTCCTAGGTAGTAGGTTGGTAGACAGCAACCACCCAGGGAGGTACTACCGTCCTGCCAAGTGAGTGTGAAAGAAAGCCTGTAATTGTTTTACACGATGGTAGGATTGTTGGTGTCTTTTGTCTGTCTCATAAATATGCAAGATTTCAGGTACGTCTTGCTACTTCTACTTACACTTAGGTCACACTACACATACATGTACAAGCATATATATACATACACCCTTCTGGGTTTTCTTCTATTTTCTTTCTAGTTCTTGTTCTTGCTTATTTCCTCTTATTTCCATGGGGAAGTGGAACAGAATTCTTCCTCCGTACGCCATGCATGTTATGTAAGAGGCAACTAAAATGCCGGGAGTAAGGGGCTAGTAACCCCTTCTCCTGTATAAATTACTAAATTTAAAAACAGAAACTTTCATTTTTCTTTTTGGGCCACCCTACCTTGGTGGGATACGGCCGGTGTGTTGAAAAAAAAAAAATTCTACTTCGTCCCTTCCTCCCGTAATAATAATAATATTTTTAATTTTTTAAACACTCCAGTCAACTCTCTCTGTCACTCGTTCAATTACTGTCTTGCCAAGAAGGCAATGACATTCCAGTTCAGATAACCACACCTTCCTTCAAAATGCAGGCACTACTGTCCACCTCCAGGACTCAAGTCCAGTTAACCAGTTTCCCTGAATCCTTTCAAAAATGTTACCTTGCTCACACTCCAACAGCACATCAAATTATAAAAAGCCACTTGCCAAAACTTAGATAAAACTTACACAAGCCTGTTGGATGTCCAAGCCCCTAGCACTCAAAACTTCCTTTACTCCCTCCTTTCGATCTTTCATAGGACGAGCCCTACCTTGCTAAGTGTTGTTTTCTCTGCCGGGTGTGACTGCATTATTTCAATGCCATCAACTTGGTCGTCTAATATGAAAGGTGCTACGAAGCTGAAGCCTTTAAACATCTGGTGAGCATTGGCACTTGGAGGAACACCTGGAGAATCTTCAAGACAAAAATTTATTAATAAAATCTATACAACACTATGGTACTGTTAATAACCTATGCTCATCTTAAATAAATATTGGGTATCTATTGATGGTTTCAGTGATTAATGCTCTTGTGATAGTAAAATAAGAGAAAAACAAACAATTTCCCATTTCTCTTAAAGTAATAGTTTAAACAAATAAGGGTATTTAAAATATCTGCATAATACAGTAATGTACAAATAATATCACATAGTTTTCCTTTGGCAAGCACCATAACCAGTAATAATAAAGAATGAAAATGCACAATACCATGACTAACAATACACAAATAACCCGCACGCAGAAGAATGAAACTTATGATGATGTTTTGGTCTAATTAATGGTTCAACTTGGGCCATTAACACTGACTAATTAATGGTCTGACTTGGACCATTAACACTGGCTAGTTAATGGTCCAAGTCAGACTGAAACATCATCATAAATCTCTTTCTACTATGTGTGGGTTATTTGTGTATTAATAACAAAATTAAGTAATGTAAAGAAATATTTTTCAGTTGATAAAAACTCCCCATGAATTAAAATTACCTCTAGGTGTTCTTGTGGTGAATTCTTGATCAAAGTAGAAGGTATCATCAGCTTTGGAAACTGCAGGCTTAAAAGGTGGTTCTATTTCCTTATTAAATAACTTGTTCCAGTCAATAGAGGCAAAAAATGGGTGTCGCTTTAGTTCATCTACACCCTCAGGACCTGTGAGATTTAAAATATTGCTCTTACAATCTTCATACAAATTTAAAACTTTATACTGTATGCAAGGCTCAATGCAGTTAAAGAAAATCAATAAATGATAATAATAAAACTTACAATGCAGTATTTAAAGAAACACAAAATGATGCAGTTTTTTACAATTAATTTTTATTCCTCGTAACCACATTTCTCATCATCATTTCAAGAAGAGAGGTACAAATTTTTATTATATTTTGGTCTTCCTAGGATGGAATATTGTTGTATATTCAGGGAGGTACTACCGTCCTGCCAAGTGAGTGCAAAACGGAAGCCTGTAATTGTTTTACATGATGGTAGGATTGCTGGTGTCTTTTTTCTGTCTCATAAACATGCAAGATTTCAGGTACGTCTTGCTACTTCTACTTACACTTACGTCACATTACACATGCATGTACAAGCATATACAGTGGTACCTTGGCTTACGAGTTTTTAAAAAAGCCTTTCTCGCCAGGTCCCAGCAATGTTTTAGAAATGCTGGAGTATATATGAAACTCCTTGAAGCATGGTGTAAGATGAGTGTCACTCCACTGCCAGTGGAGTGACACTTGTGGAATGACATCTGATGATCGTGCACTGCCTTGGCTTTATTTTTCACTGTTACACATAAACATATCTGTCTATCTGTTTTTTTCTGTCTGTATCTGTCTGTCTAGTTCTGTTTATGTTTATCTCTGTCTCTGCTTATCTAGCTTCCAATGTTTGTCTTCCTGTCTCTCTACTTGTCTGTCTCAGAGCCGCTCATGAACCAACAGGTATAACACATGATGCAGAGTCAGTCACGTCTGATTCCTGAACAAGTGAAAATGTGTATTACTTGCCAGTCATGCTTATTATGCTTGATATCTACAAGCACAGTATAGCACTTTGTCTGTTTTTTTTGGGGTTATCATAGATAATTTAGACTATGTATAGCTGGATTTGTGTTTACCTGCAAGACAGAGATAGAGATAGAGATAGACACAGAGATAGAGACAAACACAGACAGAGACACAAATAGACAGAGAGAGAGAGAGATACAGACAGACAGAAGGAGATAGAGACAACCAAAGCAAATCAGCCAGCCAGCCACTGGCCAGCCAGCCACTGGCCAGCCAACCACCCAACCAGCCGGCCTGCTGAATATGTATTACACGTTCCATAATTGTTTCTCTTTACTCAGGGCATAAGTTAGAGAACATTCTGGCAGGATGACACTACCAGTGATATCAAAACTGAAAGGATGTTGCACATTGGTTATTATCGAGGTTTTTGATATTTCCTCTCTCCTGTGAGTGGCGGCATATCTGAAGCTTGCTCGTAACTTAGATTTTGGCTTGCAATTCAAAGCAAAAAGTTGACCGAGCGACAGCTCCTAACTCAGAAAACTCGTAAGTTGGGGCACTCGTAAGTCTAGGTACCACTGTATATACACACTCCTCTGAGTTTTCTTCTATTTTTTTACTAGTTCTTGTTCTTGTTTATTCCCCTTATCTCCATGGGGAAGTGGAACAGAATTTTTCCTCCATAAGCCATGCGTGTCATAAGAAGCGGCTAAAATGCCGGGAGCAAGGAGCTAGTAACCCCTTCTCCTGTATATGTTACTAAATTTAAAATGAGAAACTTGTTTTTCTTTCTTGGGCCACCCTGCCTCAGTGGGCCACCCTGCCTCGGTGGGCCACCCTGCCTCAGTGGGCCACCCTGCCTCAGTGGGCCACCCTGCCTCGGTGGGATACAGCCGATTTGTTAAAAGAAGAAAGAAGATTCAGAGAACCTTCACTGCCTGTATAAACTATCAAGCACCTAAATTATGGGTAACACTTGAAGTCAATCAAACCATATTACTATATTTGGAACTTAGGCGAGAAACATAGATCATAATTTACACCTGGAAAATTCTGCAGGGACATGTCCCTAGCATGCATAACAATAGCACCTTCATAAAAGAATCTTTGTAGATTGCGTGGAATAACTCCAATGAAGAGTAGCTCCACAATGAGTGTAAAGGGATCAAAACTCTTTAACACCCTTCATGCTTAAGGGGATTTACCAATAGGCCCAAAGCTGTCAAGAGAGGTTAGGTAAAGTTCATCAGGAGACAGGACAAGTGTTTCCTGATGCAGGTCTTAGTCAGATGATGACCCACCATTGGAGCTTTTGGTCATCTGACCGAGGCCTTCCACTGGCTTACCGGTCCACCCCTTTAAAAATTATGGTTAGTTTTAACCAATTAGTTATTTTATGTCTTCAAAAGGAAACTTAATGCATTCCTAAAGTCAATTTATAACGAGTTGAGCTGTGGTCCATCCACTGGTCTGCATGGCTAGCACTAACAGCCTGGGAGCTCAGAACAGTAACCAAGACTGGGACTGCCAGTGGGGCAATGACGTCTGTGACTGTCTTCAGGTAACCTACAGGTATGAGTAACCAGGTCATAGGGAGTGGGAGGTCATTAGGATTGATTGGAAAAAGGGGACAGTAACATGTTTCAAAAGACCTTCACCAGCATCAAAACACAGAAGTCTCTCTTGACGGGCATGAGGCAGGAATAATAATAATAATAATATAATAATAATAATAATAATAATAATAATAATAAATAATAATAATAATAATAATAATAATAATAATAATAATAATAATAATAATAATAATAATAATAATAATAATAATAATAATAATAATAATAATAATAATAATAATAATAATAATAATAATAATAATAATAAAAGGCTTGCGAAGAACCTTTCAGGAAAGGCCGTACAGCAACAATACAGGTGTCCTGCACTTTTTTGTGAAAGAAATGTCAAAGGGCAATGGCATGTAACTGTACTGTCCCCAAACCTATTTCTAATATACATGGGAGGGTTGTAGTGAAGGAAGTGAACTGAAGGCACTGGTTACAGCAGGACTGCCTCTCTTTCTCTTAATCCCTCTCTCTCTCCCATCTTGCATAATAATCATTACAAATGCACTCCACTCTCTCACTGTTATGGTAAGAGTACTAGGTACCTGGGCATATGGTCTAGGAGGTTTGAGGTGAGAGTAATGGCATGTCCAGACTAATATATGAAGCTGACCTGCCACATAACCACTGATCATGTAGAGGATATGACTAAACCATTGTCCAACAGAACAATAATTATGAAACCCATCTTTTTACCAATTTCTAATAAACAAATGCGAGCCCTCAACACATGCCTATAGGGGCTGAACCAGTGAAACTATTATGTTCAAGAGTAGAGTACCAGGGAACTGTCAAGGACACACTAACTGATTAAGAAATTTATATTACACACAGAGAACTGATGGTCCCAATATTGGCAGTTTGGAGGGATATGTTGTGTATCTTTATACGTATATGCTTCTAAACTGTTGTATTCTGAGCACCTCTGCAAAAACAGTGATAATGTGCGAGTGTGGTGAAAGTGTTGAATGATGATGAAAGTATTTTCTTTTTGGGTATTTTCTTTCTTTTTTGGGTCACCCTGCCTCGGTGGGAGACGGCCGACTTGTTGAAAAAAAGAAAAAAAACAGAGAACTGATGGTAGAAATGATTTTATCACATATAAACAACTTCACATGTACAGAGAACCAGCATAACATTCCAGACGTCTGTATAGCGGCATCACTGGATACTATCTGAGAAGGTTTCACAGGGTTCTTCTACTCTTATAGTCCAATCTGAGGTCTCGGCCTGGATGACCAGGGAGGCCTGGTCTGGGACTAGGCCATGGGAGAATCGACCCCTGGAGCACACTCCAGGTAGGCAGGTCTTGCTCTATAACACCCAAAGATTACTACTTCACAGAAAATAAATAAATGCTCTCAAACAGAAAGAAAAATGAGAATTCAAGATATATGTGGCAATTACTTAAATGATCTTTATATGCTTATAAAGTCTAACATACCTGCACCTAATCTGTTGGCTGGATTTCTTTTGAAGAGTGCCCGGAGGAGGGACTGTGCCTCAGGACTCAGGTACGGTGGCATTCCTAATTTAGCTTTAAGAATTAATGTCATTGTTTCTTTTCGGTTTGACCCTTGGAATGGTAATGCTCCCGTTAGCATTTCAAACTGAAAAAAGACGTATACTAATGTATAAACAAACCTACTTAATTAAACTACAGTAATTAATAAACAAGTTTTATCATCACTTCTTAACTTAGGCAGGATAAACATATATACTATACTAGAACATTAGGAGAGAATAATACAGAAAGAACTTATGTCAGCAAGTGATGTGGGATAAAGTGATAGTCAGTCAGCCATACAAATTTGAAGGTTTCCTTATTTACAATTTTTGATTATCCAATGATTTTATTGATATTTTCTTTTTTCATATAAAATCTTGATGTAGAGGACTTGGTCTACTGTATGGAGAATTACCAAACACACACACACTACTGCTAACATAAAAAATTTGATGCAGAGGACTTAGTCCATAGTATGGGTAGCTTATTGGATACTATCGCTAATGGAAATCTCAATGCAGCAGAATGAGTCTGTTACATCAAATATCTAGGCAAATATTCTGTCCACTATGTGCAAAATCCATTTATTGAGGTTTTACTCTATATCATGGTAATGAGGGGAAATAGTATGACAGGTATAACAGTAGATAATAGTTAAATAGTAATGCCAAGTGATTTTTCTGATATAATCACCCCTTTTGAAGAAAATTCTGTAGGTAAGCAAGGCATCAAAGATGTTAATATTAATGGGAATGCTAATAAAAACAACTCGACTAAAAGTGAGTTCTTGAATGACGTGTTACACAACAGTACCAAATGCTCACCAAAAGAACACCAAATGACCACCAATCTGCTGCTGTGTTGTGACCCCTGCGGTTGACGACCTCTGGTGCCATATATTCTACAGTGCCACAGAAACTATACGCCTTCTGGTCATCCAAAGCTTCTTTACACAGGCCGAAGTCTGTGAGGGAGATATGGCCATCTGCATCCAGGAGTATGCTGAAAATTAACAGGAAATCATGATGTAATATTAAGATTATTAACATTATTAACAAAGCATGTGATAATTATTTAGAATGTTCAAAATACAGTGGACCCCCGGTTAACGATATTTTTTCACTCCAGAAGTATGTTCAGGTGCCAGTACTGACCGAATTTGTTCCCATAAGAAATATTGTGAAGTAGATTAGTCCATTTGAGACCCCCAAACATACACGTACAAACGCACTTACATAAATACACTTACAAAATTGGTCGCATTCGGAGGTAATCGTTATGCGGGGGTCCACTGTATAACAAAGCCTATACAGGCAGGCCGAGCTTTACAGCACTTTGCTAATGCAGAAGCTTTCAATTATACACATTCTTCATTGATTCAGACTTCCTACAGTAAACATATTAACTACTCACTATAAGCAAAGGATGAAAATATTTTAAGGTAGGAGATGTGTGTACTACATATGCATTTTTTTGGGGCCTAACTTTATTGATTCCTTAACCCGTAAACGGTCCAAGCAGATCTACGTCCACATGTGTAGTGCTACAAAAGTAGATCTAAGTTTTTTTTTTGCATATTTTCAAATCTTTTCTTTCAACACACCGGCCGTATCCCACCGAGGTGGGGTGGCGCAAAAGGAAAAACGAAAGTTTCTCCTTTTACATTTAGTAATATATACAGGAGAAGGGGTCACTAGCCCCTTGCTCCCGGCATTTTAGTCGCCTCTTACAACACGCATGGCTTACGGAGGAAGAATTCTGTTTCACTTCCCCATGGAGGAGTTAGGTAAATACAGTACAATAAAGACATACAACTTACTTTTCAGGTTTTAGGTCTCTATAGATGACACCAACTGAGTGCAGGTGATCTAATGCTAAAGCCAATTCTGCTAGATAAAATTTAACATCCTCTTCTGTGAACATGATCTGGAAAATAAAATATGTATATTTTAACACGACAGCTCTCTCCTCACTGAAGTCAAGTAACCCCCAAAAAAAAGAAGAAAATACTTTCAGTGTCACTCGTTCACTGTGCTGACAGAAGGCTGCTGGCACAGAACTCTGGATGACCCTCCAAATAGCAACAGCCTTACCCGTCCTTCAGAGTGCAGGCACTGTACTTCCCTCCCCAGGACCGTAACATTTCCACCTATCCTTCAGAGTGCAGGCACTGTACTTCCCTCCTCAGGACCGTAACATTTCCACCTATCCTTCAGAGTGCAGGCAGTGTACCTCCCACCTCCAATACTGTAACATCTCCTCCTATCCTTCAAAATGCAGGCACTGTACTTCCCACTCCAGGACCATAACATCCCCACCCATCCTTCAGAGTGCAGGCACTGTATGTTTTACCTCCAGGACTCAAGCCTAGCTAACTTGTTTTCTGAATCCCTTCATAAATGTAGAGAAAGTGTCATGTGGGCTGGAATATGGGCTGGCCAGGTGATGCCCACACACCTATTTTGTACCAAGGTGGAACATGAATTAGCAAGGTGATACATGCACACCTGTAACCCTGCACTACAATGGAATACAGTTTTTAGAATGATAATTTTTACTGAGTTTAATGGACTATATGAACATGACAGAATCACGATGAAGTATATGGAAGCCACCACCATCATCCAGACCTAAAATACTCAAGAGCAAAACCAAGGAGCATTCACACTTACAACACCTCTAACCTAAATTCTCTTACATCACCTGACATCACCTCGCTCATACAGCAACCTGGGTCACATAACAAAGATCATGACCTCACACCTCACCAGGCTACACAACTTGTATATAAGTACAGTGGAACTTCAGTGTTTGAACTTAATTGGTTCCTAGGTGGTGTTCAAACTGCAAAAAGTTTGATATCTGAAACAACATTTCCCAGAATTTAATTATGAGCCTCACAAACCTGAAGATGTTGAACCGACTCTTCCAAAAGTTTCTTGAGAGTTAGGTCAGTGTCAAAGCACTTTTGAAGTGAGCTGAATTTTACACAAATCGGCACATTCAGACTCCAGAAAAACATTCAAAGATCGGGTCAATTTCCTCTAAACAAAATTGTTCAGACTCCAGTTTGTTTGAGGTCCAGCACATTCCAACACTGAGGTTCCACTGTAGTAGTTGACATGTTTTCTCTGTGTAACTTTAAGCTACCTTGAATAAAATATCATTACAACAAAGGCTTTTTCACTTTTACATCTTTTTGTCAACTTCTTAGCTGTCTAGCCTTTCTAACAATCAAGTTCATGCTTTCTTATGACTTTTGTGAGGGATCGATGAGCTAAACACAGCTAACACTGTACTCAATTACTGGGAGCGCTTGAGGTTCCTGAACCTGTATTCCCTGGAACGCAGGAGGGAGAGATGACATGATTATATACACCTGGAAAATCCTAGAGGGACTAGTACCGAACTTGCACACGAAAATCACTCACTACGAAAGCAAAAGACTTGGCAGACGATGCAACATCCCCCCAATGAAAAGCAGGGGTGTCACTAGCACGTTAAGAGACCATACAATAAGTGTCAGGGGCCCAAGACTGTTCAACTGCCTCCCAGCATACATAAGGGGGATTACCAATAAACCCCTGGCTGTCTTCAAGCGGGTACTGGACAAGCACCTAAAGTCGGTTCCTGACCAGCCGGGCTGTGGCTCGTACGTTGGTTTGCTTGCAGCCAGCAGTAACAGCCTGGTTGATCAGGCTGTGATCCACCAGGAGGCCTGGTCACAGACCGGGCCGCAGGGGGCGTTGACCCCCGGAACTCTCTCCAGGTAAACTCCAGGTAACAATCAGTGCAAATAAGAAAAATAAAAGACACAAAAAAGAACAATAAGGCACAATATCATTACTGGAACAATAAACAAATAACCCGCACATAAGAGAAACTCGTGACAATGTTTTGGCCCAACTTGAACCATTAACTAGTCACACAATATGTGTCAACAGTTATTGCTCCAAGTCAGACCAAAATATCATCAGAAGTGTGGGTTATTTGTGTAAAACTCACAATGCCATGGAATATCTCGAAACTAACCCACTAACTGGAGACAAAAACCAGACAGCACCTTGTGCCATTCTGAACATATCAGATCCAGGTCAGATAAACATCATCTCAAAATTTTGGATTAAATATGAATTGTAAGTAGAGCACAGCAGGACCCGTCATCTGCAGGTCTGGTATCTGCGGTTTCAGTTATTCACAGTTTACTGTGGTCCAAAAATAACCCTAAATTTTGCTTAATAATAGCCTCAAAGTGATGGCAGAAGTTTTTCGAAGCCTAAGAGAAACCATGAAGCACTTCCCATTAGTGAAAAAGTGATAATTCTCCACTTTTTGTGCATAATTTATCAATTAAACTTGATAATACAGATGCATAGGACTTATATATAAGGTTTGCTACTATCCACAGTTTCAGTATCCACAGCAGGTCCTTGGAACACATCCCCTGCAGGTATGGGGATCCTACTGTACTGTACAGTATTTCATCAAAGTTTAGGATGCAGTTCTACTGGGATGAGATTGGGTGTCATCATGAGACTCAAGACAACACTCACCTATACAAGACTATCCAATGGAAGATGAAGAATACTTTCTCAGGTTATTATGTGAGTGAAGGGCTTTTATATATTATGTTCCCTCAGACTAACATTTTAATGTTGCAATACACTTTAAATTTACTAAATTAGTCATTATAATATACATAAACATGAATAAAAAAGAATACTAGGAAATTAATGTACAATGTATAGTATATAAATCAATTTATATTAAAAATAGTTCTTTCATTAGATTGATCTTAAATGTTTAAAATTTTATTTTTTATTATCACACTGGCCGATTCCCACCAAGGCAGGGTGGCCCGAAAAAGAAAAACTTTCACCATCATTCACTCCATCACTGTCTTGCCAGAAGGGTGCTTTACACTACAGTTTTTAAACTGCAACATTAACACCCGTCCTTCAGAGTGCAGGCACTGTACTTCCCATCTCCAGGACTCAAGTCCGGCCTGCCGGTTTCCCTGAATCCCTTCATAAATGTTACTTTGCTCACACTCCAACAGCACGTCAAGTATTAAAAACCATTTGTCTCCATTCACTCCTATCAAACACGCTCACGCATGCCCGCTGGAAGTCCAAGCCCCTCGCACACAAAACCTCCTTTACCCCCTCCCTCCAACCTTTCCTAGGCCGACCCATACCCCGCCTTCCTTCCACTACAGACTGGGTAGGGATTGGCCTAGGAAAGGTTGGAGGGAGGGGGTAAAGGAGGTTTTGTGTGCGAGGGGCTTGGACTTCCAGTGGGCATGCTTGAGCATGTTTGATAGGAGTGAATGGAGACGAATGGTTTTTAATACTTGACGTGCTGTTGGAGTGTGAGCAAAGTAACATTTATGAAGGGATTCAGGGAAACCGGCAGGCCGGACTTGAGTCCTGGAGATGGGAAGTACAGTGCCTGCACTCTGAAGGAGGGGTGTTAATGTTGCAGTTTAAAAACTGTAACATGAGAAATCATTGTTAGAACAACAAAGAACACCAAAGCTTTGAGCTAAGATCTAATGTAAAATATGGGAATCATGTTCAATTATACTTAACTAGTCCATAACATAAGCAATGTATGGTGGTCTTGGTACTTGTGAAGGCATGACTTTGTAGTAAACAAGTAGAAACTTATGCTGAAGAATTAAGACATTATGTGCAACCTCTGGGTATCTTTATAGTAGACATTTCACCATCCACTGACTTTATAGTTCTACTGTCTTCCTGTTATGTCCTTGAATCTGTATTGATAAAGTCACTGGATGGCAAAACGTCTACAATAAAGATACCCAGACGTTGCACATGTATGTAATTCCTCATCTTGTCAGTATTGTATACAGAAACTTAAGGTGTACATAAGTACACAAGAGGTGTGTGTGTGCGTGTGTGTGTGTGTGTGTGTGTGTGTGTGTGTGTGTGAGTGGTGGAGAGAGATGTATAGAGTTAAGCAGGACGTACAAGTAAACTTATAGGAACTTGCTGACTATACTTCATAAAAATTTGTTTTATTATGTATATGTTAAATCTTCTGCCTGAAATATTTGAGAAATGTTATAAACTAGTGTGAAAATCACTGTGAGCTGGACAGATTAGTGACACTGTGAATATAATAATGGTATACAATACCAACAAGATGATAAGACGGATCACACCATCTTTACGTCTCTACTGCTTCTGCTGTCTCTGTATTCTACTGAAGAAGCCCATTGTGTAAGTGATATGTTCCAGAATAATGATTCCTAACTGTTGCACATGTGTCTTACTTATCAGTTTATGGACATGCTGAGAAGCTCAAGTCTTTAGCTACATTCAAACGTCAAATATCATTTTTCTTTTAATACTCTGGCTGTCTCCCACCAAGGCAGGGTGATCCAAAACAAGAAATGTAATTACCTAAGAGTAAAGTATGGAAATGGTGTTCCAAGGAAGCAAAATATACTCAAAATTGAGATACAGCCAAAGACAATTAAATTATTTGATACAGTCTAAGTCTGATGCATTAAAATTAAGAAAAAAAAAACATTGCAACAATAATATGCAGAAGCAACTTTACAGTTCTGCACCATTATGGCAGGTTACTGTAATTAAAATTCATGACAGAAATTATTCAGTCTGTGAAACCCAATATTAACCCTTTGACTGTCGCGGCCGTATATTTACGTCTTACGAGGTACCGTGTTTGACGTATATATACTCATAAATTCTAGCGGCTTCAAATCAAGCAGGAGAAAGCTGGTGGGCCCACATGTGAGAGAATGGGTCTCCATGGTCAGTGTGCACCATATAAAAAAATCCTGGAGCACACAGTGCATAATGAGAAAAAAAAAAAATCCAACCGTTTTCTTAATTAAAATGCCGACTTTGTGGTCTATTTTCGGTCTCCATGGTCAGTGTGCACCATATAAAAAAATC